AGGATAGTCCTCGAGGGAACGATATCTTACTCACCTTATATTGCATAATCGATTAGGTTCACTTGCCTAAAAGTAGTGCGATTTTGGTGCATCAATGAAGACCGCATCTTAAAAGTCACATCCTAGATGAAGACCACATCTAAGGAAGAAGGAGAGATGAAGACCACATCTTAAAAGTCACATCCTAAATGAAGACCACATCTGAGGAAGAAGGAGAGATAAAGACCACATCTCGCAAAGTATAAGCTGAAGACCACATCTTAGAAGTCACATCCTAGATTCTCGCAAAAGGATAAGATGAAGACCACATCTTAGAAGTCACATTCTAGATGAAGACCGCATCTTGCAAAAGATAAGATGAAGACTGCAACTTTCACTTATACATTATTTTCAAAGCTTAAATTAGGTTATTCTTTTAGTCTTTACTTTTTTTTTTACAAAAGAAAAGTAAAGAGGGGGCAACTGTCATAATCAAATTTTAATTAGGGCTAAGTGAGAAAAGTAAAAGTTCGTGGACCATTTCGCAAAAAGTGTAAAGCTTGAAGGGTTGAGATGAAGAACTAGCAAAACGACGTTGTTTTACCTATAAGTTGAAATAAAAATAAAGCCCAAGGTTCTGTCGAACCCTAGCTTCCCAAAAAATCTCGTTTCTTCCTTTTGCTGCCGACTATCTCCAAATTTCACAAAATTCTTCTTGATTTATCTCTAAATCCATTCAAAGTTTGGATAGACCACAACAACGCAAGAAGAGATTTTCGGATTTGAAGTCCTTATCAAGAGTCGCAGAAGATTTTCGAAGTCAATTCAAATTGGGAGTCCTGATATTTTGAAGGTATGAATCTAACCTTAAAAAAGGGAAGATGTGTAAAGACTAGATTAATTTTAAGATTCCAATTTCAAATAGGATTAGATTATTATCTGTAATTTTGGGGATTGGGATTAGAATTTAGAATTAGAAAAAGGATTGGAGTCCTCTCTATTTCTGTATAAAAAGGGGGGGGCACCTTCGTCTTTGGGGAAAGGTCAAAAAATTGGGAGAAAAATCGAGGAGGGAGAAGGGAAAAAATTTGGGAGCCGACAGATAGTGTGAAGCAAAAGAAGAAGAAATCTTGTATTTCGAAGTTTGCAGCAAATAAATAAATTGGTTTCCTCCTTTCAGGTGTGTTTTCTTGAGAATATGGAAAATTTTGGATCTTGAATCTTAGTTTTCTGCATCTGTTTTTTTTTTTCGTTTCTTTTGTTTCTTAGTTGCTATATTAATTTGGAGGAAATTTTTATTGGTGTATTCTTGTTGCATACATAGTTTCAGCCTTTATTTGTTTGCCCCCAGTCCTGTTCGTCGCTGGGTTTCATGGCTGTTTCCTTGTTTAATTAGAGTAATTTAATAAAATCAATTACCGTCATTTAGGATATCATTTAAAAGCTGCTAGGATATGGGTACTGTGATTTAGTTTGTGCTTCGGTAATCTGAAATAATGACCAAATCTTGTTTTCTATCATAAAGTTTCTTTTCTAAGACTTGCAGTTCTTTGAAATGCATTAGAAAAAAAATGAAACGAAAATATATATATATATGTATAAAAAGAAACAAAAGGAAATGGGAATGAGGAAAAAGGTAGATGATGATGAATAGTATTTGTGTATATATATATATATATATAAAGAAACAAAAGAAACGGGAACGAGGAAAAAGGTAGATGATGATGAACATTATTTGTTTAATTTTTCTGAAGCTTTTTTATTTTTGGGTAGCTATTTTTGATAAATAAATAAAAAAAAGAACAAAATAAATAAAAAAAAGGGAACAGAAAAAGACAATAATGGGGTTTTTGAAGTTTTTATTTTATTTTATTTTATGTTCTTGGGTAATTATTATTATTATTTTGATATATAAAATTGAAAAATCCCCAAAATTAAAGTATGTGGTAACCATATTATTTGAAAGTTGTGGGGTGCCTAACACCTTCCCCATGCTTAATTGACCCTCCGAGCCTAGTCAATTTCTGCGTAGACCTTGGTGATCTATCCCACCTCATTTGGATAGATGGCGACTCCATCCATTTTGGCATGTCAACAGCGAGGAAATGGATGAACTATGAAAAAGCTTGGCCTTGCCATTCGAGATTGCTATGAAAGTACAATGGACTCTAGATGATGAGGGAGCTCTCTTGTTTCCCCCAGCCATGCTTGAAGAAGGGGAGGAAGCTCCTCAAAGTTTTGCTGAATAAGTAGATGGAATGCCCAATTTGGGAGTTGAAACCACTTCTTTTCCTTAGCCACTTACATCCACTTAGCTCATTGATCTTGTTCTTGCTTCAACAACAACCCCCATGACACCCGTGCTGTAATAGATTTAATTGACAAACAAGATTAGGGCACGTGGTGTTTTTAGTTTTGATTTTTTGATTTTGTAATGTATTGTTTTAATCTCATTTCAGCTCATTTTGTACTTTGTATTTTTTGAAAGTTTTTAATATGAAAAGAAAAGGAACAATTTTTATCATTCCACTGCTTCTGCCTTTATATATATATATAACAAATTCAAACTATAATGTATGCATAGAATAAAGAGTATGAAAGTCAACTGTGGAGAAGCTATAAAAGTTAACTATAGTATTTCCTTAAATTATTTACATTCCTAGTAAACGATAATTGATGACCTTGCGAGTCTTCCAAAATATATGACCTAGGTTGCTTAATAGCTATAACCTTATAAGGTCTTTCCCAATTAGGGGTGAGCTTGCCCATGGACGAATATGTATTTGTGAGCCTAGCCTTTTTTAGAACCATGTTGCCAAATCTAAATTGACGATGTTGAACTCATTTGTTATAGAGATTTGCAACACAACCTTGGTAAAATAAAGATCGTAGATGGGTTGTCTCCCTAACTTCTTCAACTAGGTCCAAACTTTCATGAAGTGCCTGTTTGTTAGTTGGTTCATTGAAGTAAGTTGTTCTTGAGCTCAGTAAGCCTATCCCAATTAGGGGTGAGCTTGCCCATGGACGAATATGTATTTGTGAGCCTAGCCTTTTTTAGAACCATGTTGCCAAATCTAAATTGACGATGTTGAACTCATTTGTTATAGAGATTTGCAACACAACCTTGGTAAAATAAAGATCGTAGATGGGTTGTCTCCCTAACTTCTTCAACTAGGTCCAAACTTTCATGAAGTGCCTGTTTGTTAGTTGGTTCATTGAAGTAAGTTGTTCTTGAGCTCAGTAAGCCTATCTCAACAGGAATAACTGCTTCTGTCCCATAGGCTAAAAAGAATGGTGCTTCACTGGTGGCCGAGTTGGGCATGTTTCTGCACAATCATAAAATGTTGTTTAGCTCATAAACCTAGTTTGTTTGAGCAGTAGCAATATGTGTCTCAAGGCCACGTAAAATATTTTATTAGCAGACTCTGCTTGACCATTTCTTTGTGGGGTGCAAACTGAGGTAAGGATGAGTTGAATTCCATAATCCTTGCAGAATGTTTTGAGGGTTGCTGCTCAAAATTGAGAGTTGTTGTCAGCTATAATGCATTGTTGAATCTATTGCACCAAATACACACTCCTCTTAAGCAAGTGAACCTAATTGATTATGTAGTATAAGATAAGTAAGATATTGTTCCCTCGAGAACTATTCTACACTACCAAGACGATATTAATCTAACCTAAGTTGAATTAACTAATTAATGGAACAAAGTTGAACTACTTAACTAAAACTAATTAAACTAAAGGAATTTTCTAAGTTAAAGAAACTATGAATGGGAAGGAACTAGGGTTTAGATTTCATTTAATTCTGAATTATGCAATTGTTTAATTAATCTAATTCAAGTTCAAATAATAGTGTTATAGCATGAGATGACATATTTCCCTCAATTAATTAACTAGTTTTCTCAAGTCAAGCTAATCCTTCACTTGTTTGTCAAATTAATCATATCTTTATGTAATTTTAAACAAACTAATGAGCATTAAATTTTATGGAAACCTCTAGCTTAAAAAGGGGGAGCTCCTAACTCTCTTCTCTTTTTTCACTACCACATGTGAGCTAATTACCTCTTGGTTTTATAGTCTAACACATGGTTTATATTATTATTGGTCTAATTTATGCAAACCTCTAGTTTAAAAAGGGGGAGCTCCTAACTCTTTTCTCTTCTTTCACTACCACATGTGAGCTAATTACCTCTTGGTCTTATAGTCTAACACACGGTTTATATTATTATTGGTCTAATTTATGCAATTCTCTCTCAAGTTCATGCATAAATCACTAAATCAATTGAAAGGTGGTCAGGCTCTGAATGCATAAAGTTCAACAACATAAACTCATCATGTAAGTAACCAATAAATCTTGAATTAAATTAAAAAAAAAACTATCACGTAATCCAAAAATTAAAATCCATCCAACCTTAGTTCAAGAAATTTAACTACACATAATTAGGTTCTCAACAGACATGAACAGAAAAATCATTGTAAAAAAAAAATTAAGAATGAATGAAACCCATCCCAATGAAGAGCAAAGTTGAATTGCACGTCGTCTTCAATGGTGTTCTACTGTGCAGATTTCTCAAGCAAGGCTGGCAGGGAAGAGAAGAAAACACAAAGGCTGCTGCATCTGCATTTGCGTCGTCCCCTTTTACAGATTTTTGTGAAGCAGCACTAGAGAAAAGAAGGAAAATAGAGGCAGCTCAACCTTGGGGCAGTGACCCTCTTGTTTCAATTCGAAGAAGCAACATCAAAGAAAAGAAGAGAAAACAGAGGCTGGCTGCATCCTTCTGCAGTTTTCCAAACAAATCTGGGCAGTGGCGACGTCGTCTCTCATTGTTTCCTTTTTCTTTCTAGCCCATATTCTACTAGGGCTTTTGAACCTTTTGGGCCTGGTATGCTACCAGCCCACAACTTGGAAAACAGCCTAGTTCTTTTTTTTTTTTTCTCACAATTTGCCCAGCCTTCTATCAAAACCATGCATTCCAACTAGAATTCTATCTTCAAACTGATTGAATTGGGTTGATCTTATAAATGATCAATTGTAGCTTTGCATTTTAGCTTTCCAATGCCTCAAGAATCACCTCAATCTGATGTCTAGAGATAAAGTTATGGCAGAATTACTATAGTATGTGCAAACTACCATTTGTTGAAAAATTAATTTCTATTAAATTTGTTCTTTAATTATCACTTACAAAACAATGAAATTGATATAAATTTAAGTGAGATTAAGTTATAAAATACCCATAAAATTAATTTTCAAGATAAAAAGAAGGATAGATTAATGTATAAAAATTAAGCTCATCAAAATCCCATACCTACGTAGGACGAGACTAGTTAAGTGCTTTTATGGTGAGAAATACTAAGTGGCACATAATTTTGGAATATGTCATTGTAGCTACATAAAACCAAGCTGAATAAAAAGCCTTCTACTTTTTTCTCAATTGTGGTAAACAATGGCTTGGTTTTTATCCACTTTGTAAAATAATCAACAACCACAACAAGGTGCATGCGGCTTTACCTTTCACAAAAAGGCCAAGTAAATCTACAACCCATTGAGCAAATGGCCATAAAGAGGTGAGCGAGGAGAGCATTTCTCCCATAGTTTTAAGGAAAATGAGCTCAAATATTGTAGTGATATGAGTATGTATAGGATTCAACCAGGTGTGAGTAAGTCTACGTGGCATGTGAATGCCAATAACATTAAACTGGCAGGCTGGGCATTTCATTACACAGTTTTGGGCATCTTCAACCATTTGAGGCCAGTAGTAGAATTGCCTTAGAAGTTCTTGAGTGAGCATTTTTCCCCTAATGTGAGTGCCATTAACTCTTTCATGAACTTCTCTAACGACATACTTTGCTTCATAAGGAGCAAGGCATTTCAATAGGGGCATGTCATAACTCAAATTTTAGTAGAATTTTCTTTTATTTTTATTTTTATTTTATCTAATATGTTTTTTCTTTATTTTACTTGTTAGGTTCATTCAAAGAAAAAGGGGGGGGCAAAAAGGAAATTTTACGAAGAAGATTGGAAAAGAAGATGAGGAAATGGACTCAATTGAAGAACTGAAAAGTTGAAGGGTGAAATGCA